TCTCCAGCTATTTGTTTCATATAACTGCCCATTTTATCTAGTCTTTCTTTCATTTTTTTCCAAAATTGCAAATTTAGCCTCTAATTCATCAAACATTAGTTTAAGCAAACTTAAAGGGACCATCTTCTCCTCTAATGGTTGTTCTACTGAGCCTCTTCTCATTTCTTTCATTTCTCTCAGTGCCTTCCTCGTAGCCATATTCTTTTTATTTTTTATTTTTTTTCCCTTTACACAAGTAAAATGGATAGCTGGATATATTAAATACAAGAGAAAGTAAACAGACAGTTCACGCCCTCTGGTGTCTTTCAAGATGGAATTGCAGGTAGACATCAAAGGAAACACAGGGATCAAGTTACAGTCTTCTGTTTTAGAAACCCAGACAATTAACAAGCATAGTCCAGCAAAACAAAAAACTTTCCCATGGAAAAATCAAGCCTCATTACTGCAAATGGAGTTTCATGAAAAAATAACCTTCTAACACATAAATCTTCCCTTTTCACTGTAACTTTTAAGTCTCTTTTAAATTCCAATTTTCATTTGTCCTTTTGCTAATTTATCAGATTCAAATTAAAGCTCTATTTCTTCTTTTAAAAATATAGTCCCAAAAATAAGCCCCAAGAGAGTTACTTAATCTATTGCGAAGGAAGGTCTCTCTTAAGTTGAAAAATAATTATAATCCACAGTGCTTTAGAAATGAGGTTCAATCAGCTCTTGTATCCATATAAAGGCTATACTGCAGCTGCAAACAAAGATGTATCCCCTGCCTCCCAGCTGTTCAACTCAAAAGCCATTCACAGAAGCTTCCGTCTCCACGATTAGCTTTTGTGGAACAGCCGTCCAGAGACTGAATGGGCTGATTTCTCACTTCCTCCTTGGTCTGGAGAATGTTGGGCGGCCAGTGCTTGCTGACAGCCACTGATCCAGCAACGATGCCATCTCTGCTATTTCGAAGACGCCTAAGCTGCCATTGATCCCCACCAGAAGTCTCAACTTTGCCCAAAAGAATTAATGGACACTGATTTAACATCAGGATTCAAAACAAGAACAAAATAATATCAGGACATTTCAACTTGCTAGGACACTCTATTGTATCTTGTTCTAAAAAGACACAATGGGTTTTTGACACATTACAATTATTAATTGATAAGGTACTTGTAATCTGTCTCACATGTAACCAGCATTTGCATAACCAACTTGTCTTCCCCTCCCTTCCTCTGTCACTGCTTCATTCCAATTTAAATCCTACAGCAGCCTAGCAACTCCATGTATCTGATAAAGTGAGTTACAGCTCATAAAAGGTTATGCTTTTTACTAAAATTGGGTAGTTGGAAAAGTTACTACTAGACTCCCTGATTTGTTTGCTACCATAGACATGGCTCTTCTCTTAAAATGTTTCTGCCCAACATAAAGCCATACCACGCTTCCCAAACTTTGCTGATTGTCACCTCTCATATGCTTTTGATCAGAAATTTGCCAAATACCTTCCCAGATACACTTAACAAATTAATCCTCCAGTAGGTTTTGCATTCACTTTTGTTCCTTTCCCTTCACTAGAAGGGAATAATAACATTCTTCTAATTGTTAGGCACAGATGTCATTTTCACATGCACATTAAACAAGTCAGAGGGCCACTCCATAAGCCAACCATGGGTTGTACATCTTGCTCAGTACCATCTTTTCTAGAAATAAGTGTTAACAAACACATTGCTGCTACTGATTAAATGTGTTTCTGGAGAAAATCTGCTTGCCTTTTCTATGAGCATTTATTTATTTTCTGAAATTAATGCAGCACTGAACAAAGCCTTCCTGGAAGATAAAAAGGCTGTTATTTCTGTTAAGATCACAAAGACTGCTTCAAGGGAAACAAAAGGCCTGAGCTGAGTTTGCTCCATTTGCTGATAACAATATAATATAAATATATGCACTGCCTCTTGAGCCTCCTTTCTGTTGTTTTGCCCATCTAGTTCAGAATCACCTTTCAGAATAAGTTGGACAAAGATACCTTATATATCTAAATTTATATTTGTCCCTTTGCATGCAGTTCTTATGTTAAGTCTGTAAATTGTATGTTTGTTAATTTTGTTTTTAATTATTATAAGTAGCCCTGGATACATAGGGGAGAGAAATAGTAAATAATAAATATTTACATCTTATATATATTATCTAAAAACAACTGTTATAAATGGAGGAATGTATAAATCTTTTTGTCTCAAGATTTATGTAAATGTTCCCCAAATTTAAAATTACATGGCTGTAAGCAATAGCAAGAAATCCACTATTCTTTTTTGTAATTATACCCTAATAAAGTTTTGCGTATAGTGTAGGGCAGCTCTGTGTAACATACGGCCCACAGGCTGCATGCCACCCGCCAAGCAGTCTTTTGCTGCCTGCCAGCACTTTTTGAAAACTCAGTAAATCCACTACTGCCAAATGTTACCACCACCACCCTGAAAGACACACTGCCAAGCACCTACACTGCCTCCAGGCCTCACCAACACCATCAACTCCACTGCTGCTGCTGCGCCGCTAGCCGTTGAACAACTGATCAGCACACCAGTTATTCCTTTGTGGTCCTCAATTCTTTTTAATTTATCAGTGTGGCTCTTTCCCTTCTATAAGTTGGACTGGCCTGGGGTAGAGTCTAAGAATCCAACAACCTTTTCCATTTAAATAGCATATTTCTAGCCCCTTATAATAACCTGCAGAATATTTTCAATGCTATAAGTGCAAGATCATATGTAAAAGTATGCTAGGTTATAGTTAACATCCTTCTTCTCATTCTATGCAGGTGAAACTGAACAGGAGCTGGGACCTCCTCCCTCTGTAGATGAAGCAGCAAACACACTCATGACTCGCCTGGGCTTCCTCCTGGGAGAAAAGGTCACTGAGCTACAGGCAGGGAATCAGTATAACATGGAAGGACAGGAAGACAATCAGGTGGGTTTAAAACTTTGTGCAGAATGATAGCAATTTCACTGTATTCTGATTATGGAAAACAAAATACTGTATGCTATGATTCAGATCTCAAGAGACCATATCTTGTAGTCTGAAATCTATACATACAGTATTGGTGATTAACTAGAACTTGAGATATATTCTTTCCTCTGTTAAACTTGTAAATATGCAGAGATGGAGGAAACCAAGTCAAGTTAAATCAAAGTAAGAAATATTTCTGGATATATAACTCTGACTAGAAGCTAAATTGGCTTTCTTGTATAAGATCCAAGTAGGAAGAACTTTTCAGGTTTTGTCATTTTGTCAGATGTTAGTTTAACAAAGAATTTTGTCTATATAGATTAGACAGAAACTAATGTAAACTGTTTTTAGTCATTCTTGTTTAAGATGGGATACAGATTAAACAGAAAAACAGTAAAATCAAGTATATGATCAAATGATGGGCTTAAAGCAATTTGCCATCTTAGATTATCCATTCTTTTAGCCATAAAAAAGTTCCTCTGCCTGCTAATTATTTTTCTAAGGAAGGGCATCCCTCTACCATTTAGTACTGTGGTTAAAATATTATTCTGGATTAACTTGAACATGCTGCAACTATTGACAAAGAAACAGCTCTCTTCAAAAAGCTGAGCAAGTTGATGTGGTTCTTACAATGCCAGGTCATTGGAAAGACATAATGATACTGTATAAGGTAATGCAGTAGACCTATTCTCCATACCCAGCCTTTACAAAAGTTTCTCTGCTTATCTCTGGAGGATGTGGCCAGGACCCAGTACAGATTCATTAAATTACTTCATCTCATGCTATTAGTCTGATAGCAAATTACCCCTTTCTAGATTTCAAGGAGGGAAGCCCCAAGTTGGTTTGTCTTCAAGATTTTCAGAACAATTGACAATTTTTGCATAGGAGTCTCTTAGAAAGAACATGCTTTCTGGAAGTTTTAATCAAAAGGGGAGATTCTCAAATATATGCACTGCCTTGATCTGAGAATAGTGTGCTCTTTGTCCAATTTCTTTCATAAATCAAAGTTCAGTATGCCAGACTTCACTGGATGATATTTTATCTGTGTGTGTGTGTGTGTGTGTGTGTGTATTGGTCTGTATGTGTGTGTGTGTAAGTATGT